AATATATTTAATAATTAATAATTGACATCTGAGCTATCCTAGAAATCACATAGGCTGCTCAATATTCAATAAAAGCTTACGTGAAACTGAATACCTATCAGCACCCCCGATCGTTCCAAGGTCCAGTGGGAATCATTAATTCGACAGTGAGCATGCATAAGGGCGTACAATCATCGCTTTTACGCCCTTATGCATGCTCATTGTCGAATTCATTCATCGTTGTTTTACATGAGACCAATTCTACCTCTTCACCTCTCCAATTTCCAAGGAAAGGATTGTGGTATCCGGATTGGATACTTTCGATTAGTTTATGAAGGTCACTGAGTATACATTATGGAAATCATGAGTAATTAAATTTTAACGTGTAAAACGATCAGAAAACGTAACACTGAAAATCATCTTTAAACACGAAAAGCTCACGACATACAGCTCGACAGCCTCATCCGTGTTGAACACCCAGCTCAGAATTACTTAACCATCACTACAAAACGGTCCTTTTCAGGACCACCAACATTTGTTAAGAGTATTATTTGGATATTTGTCAAGGTCATCAGTTCCCGCAAGCAGCTAGCTATCAAGGCTCAACCTGGTCTTTATAGAAGGTGTGGAATTGTAGGCCCGAATGTATTGATGAGATTAATCATCGTTCGACCATTTTCCAGAACACGCTGGTAGGAAGTGTTAAACATCCATATAGAATTTGAGAGAAGTGGGAATATTTTTTTTTTTGGGTGTATATTCAGTCCCCAGAAAGCCAATAAAATCAAATTTGTGAGAAAATTAGCTCTCACGAGCAGGGTTGCTTCCACTCACTTGCTATAAAAAAAAATGATTTTCTGAATTTTGAAATCATTCGATGTTATAATGATATTTTGTACTTGCTAGATACAAGAAGCGGATGAAAGGCAAGTGTTCGACTCATTAAACCTGTCAATTTCGCTACCAGAGTGTTACAATAAGCGATTTTATGATTCGTGAGCGTTCACTCAGAGTGAGCGCTCGCGAGTCGTAAAATCGCTGATTGTGACTATATGAAAGCGTATTTGACAGCTTTCATGTGTCAAACACTAGCCTTTCAACCTCTTCTTGTGTCTAACAAGTACAAAATATGATTATAACATCTAATGATTTCAAAATTCAGAAAATCATGTTTTTATAGCAAGTGAGTGGAAGCAAGCCTGCTCACGAGCAGGGCTACTTTCATTCACTTCGCTATAAAAAACACTCAGAGTGAGCGCTCACGAATCGTAAAATCGCTGATTGTGACGCACTGAAAGCTACAATGACAGGTTTTATGTATCAAACACCTAGTTTACAACCTTATCTTGTGACATACAACTACTAACTATCATTATAATATCTAATGATTTCATAATTCCGAAAAACAAATTTTTATAGCAAGTAAGTGGAAGCAAGCCTGCTCACGAGTTCAATCCCTCGAAGTCCCTCCTTTTTTACATATTCTGCACAAATAATACTTCCTTGCCCCATTCATATAATTCGGAAGGAAATCCTGTGAGGGGTGAATTGAATACACTTTAATACCAAAATGCACAAAACTTAAAAATTCATAAATAACACAAAAATTCAAAATACACCTTTTAAAGTCGGGTAGATGAATCGAAAATTCTAAAGTTGACAGTCCCTTGGATTCTCTTCATCAACTTTCTCTTTGAAATAAATACTACAAATTTGATACGCTTACAAATAAAAAACGGAAAGAGTTAAGATAGTTGATGATTGATCAATTAAAAGAACTAAATGTTCACATTTGTTCCGTCCACTAGCGGTCCTACGTCAAGCTTCCGTTCGTGCCCCTAGGCACAGACCCTTCTACTTTTTTTTTAAATCGATTGGTGCACACAGTAATCGACCATAAAACAATTTTAAGCACTAAAAATGTTTCTCTTAAAACTACCCGAAAATGATTCGTGCAGTGACCCATCACCTAGGCGTTCGATTTCTAATAAACAAAAATGTCTTTTCATGTATAAAGGTTTTTCTAAAAAGGATTTCTTTACTTTGACACTTCATTGCGACCATATTGTTGAAGCTACAAGTGTCAAATTAGCTGTAATTTATTCAGTGTGTCTTGCCACATTGCTATGGAGGGTTATTGCAACCGGTGGAAACTAACGATTTTAAATTGGCTCACTACTTGACTACCCAACAAACAATTCAAAGCCATAAATAAGCATACATATTGAATAAATGCTTTATAACAGTGTACAATGCTGAATAAAAGAGGATGTCGAATTATGTGCTGAATGAAGCTCCTTGAGATCGATAGATGAGCCTTTATTCCGCTGTTTGCTCTGTTAAAGGGTGATACGGTCAAAATTTGGTCAATATCAACTTGACGTATTTCTTTCAATTTTGCATTTAAAAAACCTGAACACCCCTCATTTTGAAGGTGTGTGTGTGTAGAATGTTGCTCTTATTTTGATTTTGGAATTCACTCTTCAGTTGTCAAAATGCCGTCCAAGCAAGAAGAGCAGCGTATCAAAATTTTGCTCGCGCATCGCGAAAATCCGAGCTACTCGCACGCAAAGTTGGCAAAATCGCTAAAAGTTGCCAAATCAACCGTTACAAGTGTAATTAAAGTGTTTGGGGAACGTTTGTCGACAGCCAGGAAGTCTGGATCGGGGGGAAATCGAAAACCGGAAGCCGCTGAGACGACAAAGAGAGTTGCCGGTAGTTTCAAGCGAAACCCTAACCTCTCTCTCCGAGATGCCGCAAATAAGCTGGGTGTATCGTCTACAACCGTGCATCGAGCCAAAAAACGAGCCGGACTATCGACTTACAAGAAGGTAGTGACTCCAAATCGCGATGATAAACAAAATACGACGGCCAAAGCGCGATCCCGGAGGCTGTACACGACGATGCTGACGAAGTTTGACTGCGTGGTAATGGACGACGAAACCTACGTCAAAGCCGACTACAAGCAGCTTCCGGGACAGGAGTTTTATACGGCAAAAGGAAGGGGAAAGGTAGCAGATGTTTTCAAGCACATGAAACTGTCAAAGTTCGCAAAGAAATATCTGGTTTGGCAAGCCATCTGTACCTGTGGCTTGAAAAGCAGCATTTTCATAGCTTCCGGGACTGTCAACCAAGAAATTTACGTGAAAGAGTGTTTGAATAAACGTCTGCTGCCTTTCCTGAAGAAACACGGTTGTTCCGTACTGTTTTGGCCGGATTTGGCATCTTGTCATTACGGTAAAAAGGCCATGGAGTGGTACGCCGCCAACAACGTGCAGGTGGTTCCCAAGGACAAGAACCCTCCCAACACGCCAGAGCTCCGCCCAATTGAGAAATACTGGGCTATTGTCAAGCGGAACCTAAAGAAGACCAAAAAACTGCTAAGGGCGAGCAGCAGTTCAAGGCAAACTGGCTTTCTGCGGCGAAGAAGGTGGACAAGGTGGCTGTACAAAATCTGATGGCAGGGGTCAAGCGTAAGGCCCGGCAATTCGGATTTGGAAAAGCGGAAGCCTAACTGAATATTTTTCCTGAATTTTATACTAATTGAACTTGAAAAAGAAATTTAATTTGATTTTTTAAATAAACGATTTCACCGATTTACACGCGTTTTCCCTTGACCAAATTTTGACCGTATCACCCTTTACTAATTTCGACGACCGAACACCACCACACAGCAGGGTTGCTTCCACTCACTTGCTATAAAAAAATGATTTCAATGCTGGACATTTACCAGTTTTTCAATATTTTCTTGTTGAAAATCAACATTCGCAAGCATTGTTATCGATGCGTAGCCATATTTCTGATCGATTGGTAATAACATTATTGAAATTGGACCAGGGGCAGCTGAGTTATTAACGTTCAAAAATTTTCTTAATTTGTTACATGTTCCACTTTCGGTTTTCACAAAGTGTACCCCCATATAGAAATCAAAGACGTAGTCCTACGACAAAAAACTGTTTTCTTTGAAAGCTAAGATCGTCCTTCATATTCGTATTTAACTAATTGATCAGCAGTATAATTTTCAGTATACACACTATAAAAATATATGAAAAATTAGTTTGATTGGGTTTTCAGACGCAAACTCAATGACTCAAAGCATTTATAAATAAGAAAATCGAAAGGAATCGAATAAAACAAGTTTATTTTGGAAATCAATGAGGAAGTTGTGGTTTAAGGGGGTTTTCTCCCCAAAGTCCTCTATTTTATCATACAATGGCTTAGAATTTTCTTGTCCGTGCATCGAATGGCGCTTTCGACGTTTTGAAAAAGTATTTCAATTTTCTTGCTCGTATGAACAGTTCACGATCCAAGGCTTGCGTCTAAAATTCCATTTCCAACTAATTCCATTATCCACACCCTTGTAGCGGTGATCAATATGGATCAAACCACTGTCAAAACGACTCAACTCGAACGTTGTTCAAATCCACTCCTCTTCAAGGTCACTATCAGCCAGATAGAAATAAACCAACTACTAAGCTGTCAATCTACTTCATCATCTAGCCCATATCTGCCACTGTGTGTTTCAAAGTTCCAAATTAGGATCAAAACCAACATATCTTAATCTATCAACATTTCAGTATCTTGCAGCTCTGAAAATTCAAATTTCTTGTAAGTTGATTCCTATCGGCTGGGTTCGTAGCCGACGACCGGATCGGTCCAGTCAAGTTACAACCAGTCCCCGAAGCAACAACGTTGTCACTCTGTCAGTTTGCGGTGCGCGGCTTAAGACAAACCACGAAACCACCACCAAAAATAAGAAGAAAGTAAAAAGCGCAAAAAAAAACTACTCTGCTTTTGCACCCTTCGAAGTAGAAAACGAATCCAAATCAGGTCAAAAGAGAACGCATCGACCAGCATGACATCAACCTCTGGTGCAGCCAAGTAGCCCAAAGTGTCCAAGAAGGTCTCTGAATGCCCGCGCTGTGCGCCACGGACCAAGCATCACTTAGATTGAATCAAAATGTTTAACTGCTTATTGATGTTGGCTCTTTTTGAACTATGACATACTTCTCCCATTCCAGGTAAGGTGTCCGATATCGGGAAAAATAAAGAAATTGAAAAACGATGTCGTGAATTGCAGAGCAGGTGCGACGAGTTGCAAACAGACCTGAGCGGTGCCTATGCCATCATCGATGATCTGGAATTCGAATTGGAAAGTGTACGCAGCTGCAATGAATCATGAACTGGACCCGTTTGGTATGGAACTAAGGTTTTGCTGTTTTGATTCCACAGATTGATTATTTGGAAGACGAAAACGAACGGCTGCAGCAGGAAGTCAAGCGATTGAGGACGAAATTGCGGGATCAAACATCGCTACCGGCTGGTGAAGCCGCAGCAGCAGCAGCAGTGGCAGTGGAAACAGTAACAGTGCCTGCTGACCAGTACGTATCTCAGCAGAGCGTGTGATCGTGCTGTGGTTTAAAATTGTGTAGCCTCATAAAATGCAAATCCTATTTTGTTTTGCAGCATTCCATCGCCAGATCAAGTTGATGGGGCCATGGGTGAAATGAAGGTAAGAACCGTTCAAGTGGACGTTAGATTAGATTATGAAATTTGTAGATTTAAAATTGAACTCTTGTAACTAGAGTCTAATGCCAATTGTTCAAAATTAATACATTCAAATTGTGGCCCCTTGACAGCACATTAAATTCATAGTTTTAGTACTGGTAGCACCCAATAGACGGTTCATTTACCCTCAGAAGGCTTTCTGCCTTCATATGTTCAAACAAACCATAAATCAATGCAAGATGTCTAAACCTGTCAACCGGGAACTACAATTCCTCGAAGAAAATAGAAACAATTTTCAGGGAATTTAATTATAAAATTTAAAATTCTTCTACCATCCTACAACCATGGATAACCTTGTTATTTTCCACCTATACTTGATGGAAGATAAGTTTTCGATGATCGGAAAATAATCAATTTTACACGTGCCAGAATCCACCTTTGACATAAAGTATGAAACATGGTAAATTAAGTGCTCCGAAACTAAAAAGTTCGCTTGATTGAGCTGAATTTTGCGTCTGTTATGACCCTTTGTGTGTCATTGACGTAATATTAGTTACTTCATCAAATCGCAAATAATAATTGTAGCTACCAGTAAATAGATCCCTGTTATTATTTCCGTAAAATCTATCGAGATTTTATCCCAAGGCCTATTAGGCATTTCCGATCTCGTGATAGGAACAATGCCTGGCTGTGATACCAGAATACATCCGTGAAAGCTTTTAAAGAACAGTTCAACCATATCATCAATTCTAGACTACCATACTTTAATACGTCAAATTCGACATTTCATAGAAGATAGTCTCAAATGTGACTCGTGAGCTAATTCTAGAATACGTTTTTGAAGTAGTAGTAACATTATGAAGAGCTTTGAGTGGGTTGGTTTATTTCCTTTAAATTACGTTAAAATTGCTTATCTTTTGACAGATACGCGTATTTTGTCTACTACTTGCAGGCTTCATCAGTGCCAAGTACTCAACACCACTTGGCAGTGATGAAGTCTGCAAGTAGTAGACGAAATACGCGTATCTGTCAAAAGATAAGCAGTTATAACGGAATTTAAAGGAAATAAACCAACCCACTCAAAGCTCTTCATAAAGGGATTCCGTTAAGAGGTTCGACAAATTTAAAGGAGTAAAATTATGTTTATTTCTGTTGATTATGATAGTGCATTGATTTAACATTTTAATTGATTAGCCTACCTGCCTCTTCATTTTTGTTTAATTTGATATTCTAATTGAATAATTGCGTTTTTCGACTAGCTTACAGAATACCCCTTTAGGGGGTATGTTTTGTTTGAATTGAAAAAAGTGAAAACCTACCTATCTACGAAACTTTCCAGGATGAATACTCTCCATTTTTATAATGTCTGAATTCCAGCCAGGAGATGGATCTCAGAATTTCTAGTCCGCGGAAGACTTTTTAGGACCATCCTAAGAATCTTGTTCAGGATCCTTTGGAGTTTAAGGTGATGGCATTAGGCGCAACTCTCCCAGACTGGCATCCCGTATTCTATTACGGGAAAGATGATTTGTTGGTAGACAGCAAGCTTATTTTTCAGGGACACGGTGAACTTCCTATTGATAATTGAATACCATGATCTTATCAAGATGTTGCACTTGGTTTTCATTTTATCAACGTGCTCCCTGAAAAGCAGCCCACTGTCAAGAGTCAGTCCGAGGTACACGATCTCTTTGAACCATTCCACCACTGTGCCGTTCATGCAGATCTTATTATTCACCGACGGAACAAGTCTGGGAGATTTAGAGTGAGGAAAGATGATGACCTGGGTCTTTGCCGCGTTGATACTGATTTTCCAGCTGTTGAAATATTCAGACAGGACGTCCAGGCCTCTTTGAAGTTTGGCAGTTAGAGCTCCGATGACCCTACCCTTGTAGACGATGGGTGTGTCATCTGCGAACAGAGACAACGATCCACCATCAGGGAGAGCCGGCATATCGAAGGTGAACAGGTTGAATAGAATGGGGCCAAGGATGATAGTTGTTAATTATCTTCACTAGGAAGATTGGATTTGTTCCTTCTGAGAATATTTGTAACTCGAGTCAGCTGGTGGACGGTCGAACGACCTCTCCGAAAACCAAACTGTTCCTCGAGTAACATGTTGTTTTCTTCGGCATATGTTAGGAGTCGGTGGTAGACTGCTGTTTCGAACATTTTTGATAACCCTGAGAGATGGCTGATTGGTCGATAACTTGAAGTACGTTTTTGAAGGAATTCGCTGATATTTATATACCAAGGAGCGATGTCGTTACATTGTTACGTTTATTAGTCCAGTTGGGCTGACGCGTTACCATTGGTAAATGTTTGGATTGTCAGACGGCCCTGCATTATATCAAAAGGTTATGGAAATGATTTTCGTCGAATTTTCATGGTTGATCTTTTTCATCGATGATATACTCATCCCATCCTCGCCTCCAAAATGTTGACACAGTTGGACACAGAAAGAATATTTATTTATTTCAGCGATTACTACATCCTATACTCAAATTATCGATCTGAAAACACTCAGCAAAATAAATTTTCTAAATTTATATGTTTTGCATTACGATGAATGGATTTCATAAAGCTGCCTTATGAATGATTCTCGTTCCTTATTATATGGCTTTGGATTCTTCTCTCACTCAAGCGTTGATAAACGTGTGGTAAAGATACGGGTCCATCACTGGTAATGTTCTTGGTTCAAATCCGGTCGTTTTACATCCTGAATTTCGTTGACAAATAACTTTCGTCCATTTCAAAGCTAGCACTAGATCAGGTTTTGCGTTCACGGCATACGCAACGAAAATTATTTTTCTCATAGAAAATTTTAGTAACGTCACAAAATCAAAACAAAGTTACTGAAGCGCCATCTAGCACCAACTACGGTAAGTTGCCTTTATTCGTCAAGATAAGAAATGAATGGGTGTTGGATATATTGATCATTGCAACCAATACAAAGATCTATTGTGATATATTCTCCGTTTTAATATTGCTTTATCATCATGTCGTATCATCATTTTGTGAAGCGACCGACAAAGCCTGACCGAAAACCTTTTCCCACACACTTAGGCCGATGACATAGTAACGCGTTTAGCGAAGCGTGCGCGTGCGCGTGCGCGTATGCGTGTACGTCTGAGCTGCTTTGATGAGCGTCCATGCAAAAAGCTTGGTAAAACGCTTACACCTGTCATAGTAAACGCGTTGTACTGCGTCAGCAATAGCGTCAAAGCACTCCTTGAAGTGTTTTCACGCGCGTGCAAAAGACTGTTGTAGTGCCATTGAAATTCAATGGTGATCGACTAGGTAGCTGCGATTTCGGTCGTATTTTATAAAATGAATATGAATAAATTACGTCATAAATAGCATCGGTAGATCGGACGTCTAGAAGTTTAAGTAAATTTTAAATATAGCCGACATTTTTGTTCTGTTAAATGTTACATGTTAAATATTTAACAAACTGTTAATAAGGAATTTTTAAATGTTAAATGTTAAATGTAATATGTTGATTTTATAATGGTAATTGTTACATTTTACATGTAATACTTCATTTGCTTAATGTTTAATGTTAAATGCTAAAATGTTAAGTTTTAATTGTTAAATGATAAATTTTATGTGTTAAATCTTCAATTGGTTAATTTTAAATGCAAAATGCGAATTGTTAAAACGTGAAATGCTTAAGGTTAAATGTTAAATGCCAAATGTTAGATGGCAATTGTAAAAAATTGTTACAGGTTACATTTAATATGTGATATGATAAACGTAAAATGTTGAAAGCCTAATGTTTAATGTTAAATGTAAGATGGTAAATGTTAAATGCTTAATAGTAAATGCTAACTGTAAAATTTAAATTATAGCAATTTAATTTGCGTTAAAACGTTGAATGAAATTTTTGAATGTTAAATGATAAAAGTTAAATGTTCAATAATAAATTTAAGCTAGAAAATGTTAAATGCTAAATGTTACATGTTTCATGTTTCATGTTTCATTTTTCATGTTCCATGTTAAATTAACATGTTACATGTAATATTTAACATTTATAATTTATCATTTTACATTGTAGCAAGTAACAAATTGAACATGTTACTTTTAGTATTTAATATTTAACCACAGACAAACAGGCATAACACATAGATTAATTTTCGCAGTATAACATAGTCGCTAAAACACTACCGCCGTCTGTTGAGTACACTGTGATAGGCAGTATGCTCAACAGATGGCAGTAGTGAATAAACGTCAAACGCAAGGGAATTGATAATGATAATTGGCGGAACTACCAACTAAGAAACATTTAAATTCACCGTTAAATGCGTGTTCGATGAACAATTTGCGAGTGTCTCAAAATGTTTAACCGAAGTCGGCTTGATTCTAACTAGTTTTCAGTCCGACAAGTAGGTTTACCCATCTACTCAAATTCCGCTGGAGGTTGGGAATCTCAGGATTGAGTGATAAAAGTTTGAACTGACATGATGACAAATGGATTAGCAAATGGACAACATCGACCCTAATCTGACCGATGTTGTTCATTTGTCATCTTGTTAGTACCAACTTTTAGTACTCAATTTTGAATAGCCCTAGTTTCCTGAATTTGGGTAGATCCTACTGAAAATTAGGTGGTTTAGAAATAGTGTGAAGACCAGTGATTTTGACTGACAATAATGCGAGCTGCGTTTTCAAAAACGCGTTGAGTATGTCATAGCACGCATCACTTGACGCTTTATTGAAATTCAGTAAACGCGAACAACACGCGTTGCTCGACGCTCCGCGTTACTATGTCATTGGCCTTAGATTTTTTTTCCGAGCTGGGCACCACCGAGCATAATTTTGCTGAGATATCAGTAAAAATAAATGCCGAGCCTGCTTAATGGTGCTAATCTCGGCAAAAAAAATCTAAGTGTGCAGTC